TGAAGGTGCAATGGTAGCACTGCAAGGGTTCAGAGTGGACTTGGGAGCCCGAAGATGAGATGAGGGAGCATTCCGAGAGTTATTTGGAGTAGCAGACTTCGAGGACGAAGTATGATTAAAGTGGGGGTGAATTGTAACACTTATACCCTGGTATGTACCTTATGGCCCTTTTATTTTTGGAATTCTGCATTTTAGTCCCTGAAGTAGTACGCGGGGCGTACCACTTGGTACGCTTAGCGTACTAGTTGTAAAGCTAGTATGCGGGGCGTACCACTTGGTACACTTAGCGTACTGAGTTGATGGTGAGTCGGGACCCCGGTCACGTATGATGGGCGTACGTATGTGTATGGTGGGCGTACATGGACTTTAATGAAACCCTAATTAGGGGTTTTGCACTCTTTATAAACATTCGTATTTATTAGGGTTGGCCTCCTTACCAGCCTTTAAATCCCCAAAACCCTATAAACAAGTCTTAGTCTCCATTATTGAGTGTTTGAGCCCGTGGAGAGAATTTGGTGTTTACTTTTGTGCATTTTGAAGGAGTTGGAGAAGCTTGAAGTTTCTTATCTTGGAGTGAAGGACTTGGATCCAAAATAACCACCCTTTTTGCAAAGATTTTGAGGTATCAAGGTCTCATCTTGACTTCTAGTTGTTTAGATTTCTTTTTGGGATGATTTCTCATGCTTTTGGCCAGTGTTGGGTGGATTGTTGAGTTAAGACATCCTAAGGACTTATCCTTTTAGATCGAGGTTTATCATGCGCTCCTTAGGTTAGGGGTAAAATGGTCTTTTTACCCCAAGTATGGATTCATGGTTATGATTTGGAACCCAAATGTCAATTGGATTTTTTTCGTTATTGATAGCTCGGGGATTTGTCGGATCAGTAGCCAGGGATTATCCGTTTGATTCAACATTTTGAGGTGAGTTCCCTCACTGGGTTTATTGGGTCGAAGGCACCAATGTCGGCCCATGATTATGATATGTTAGTATGCTAGCTGTCTGCATTACTCTTGCATGTGTTATGTGCTTATATGCTTACCGGGCAGGGCCCGATGCAGGGCGGGGCCCGATGACCATTTTTTATGTTATGTATCTTGTGATTATTGCATGTGTATGTGTTTAGTTGTTATATGTTATATGTTATATTTATGTTGGACGGGGGCCGATTTGCTACCGAGTGGGGCTCGATGTCGGGTGGGGCCTGATGCAGGGCGGGGCCCAATGACGGACATGGCCCATTATAAGCTATTATGTATGGTATTTGGTATTTTGGGGAACTCATTAAGCTTTGTGCCTACGATTTTTAGTTTATGTTTCAGGTACTTACGGTTCCAAGGGGAAGAGCTCAGGTTGACTGCATCGTACACACCACATGGATTCCGCTTTTGAGATATCACTCTATTGTTATGATGTTGAGATACTTATTTTCATTTGAGTTGTATGGATAATGTTTTTGGAGTACTGTTTTTATTTAAATTAAAAAAAAAATTTGGATCATATTTTTGGGATGTTTCATCATATGAACTCCTTTTAAGCTGAATGTTTTTGCTATTGCCTCCTTTTCAAGCCCACTATAAGTTATCTTTGTACCATTTTTCCTTACCTTTCCTCTAAAGTTAGCTTTTATGGTCTTAAAGTTGGCATTTTATTACTTTTTATATGAAATCACAATTTCATATTCTTTTCCACTTTTGCACTTGAACTTAATCCATTTACACCATAGCATACAAAACTCATATAACTTTTAAAATGGTGACATATTTACTAATATATCATTTGTTGGTTATGTAAAATAACCAGTTTACCCTTTTTGACAATTTTAACCTTTATTACCATTTTTAAATTTCCAACTTATTTTAATTTCTTTCTCACTTTATAAACATCCAGATTTTGGGATGTTACAACCACTAAGATAGCGTTTGACATATTGAATTTGACAGAACGGGACTAAACATGAAAGTATAGGACTGGACAGAACAAAATATAACAGATTATAAATACGACGTTTGGTAAGACCAGAACAAAACAGAACAAACTGGTAAAATTATTGGATTGTCCTCTAGTGTTACAAACTTTTACATCTTTTAATATAGCTTTTATTATATAATAATTATTAATGATATTTTATTTTTTACCAATCCCCTTAGGTCAAAATCAACCATACCCCTCCGTTGTTATCTTACTTTGTCTTCTCCACAACCTCTTTTTTGCCATCACTGTAACTCTTGTGATATGTCTTCGAGCTTAACATCGCTGATGGTGGTTTTGCCTGAGTTAAGCTTAAGAATCACAAAAAAGAAAGAAATGACGTTAGTCGTCGTCCGAGAGGGGGTCCCAGAACGAGACTTCGACGGTCTAGTCAGTAGTTGTATGAGAAAATTATGGTTTAGTTTGAGATAGAGAGAGGTGATCCCTTATTCTAGAGAAGAAGGGATTACGTTATACCTATCGTCGGGGGAGCATGTCCCCGACAATACTTTTTGTCATGCCTAGACCGCTAGGACGTGGAGGCGTCCTATTGGCGAATCGTGCACCACTAGTGGTCACCTGCTATTGGTGCATAACCACCGAAGAGTAGCGCTTTGAGTGCTCCACTTGTTGCTCTGGGAAGTGGCTGGTACTGTTTTGGCTTGTTCTGGACTGGAGCCAATTGTTCTGAGCTGGACCTTGGCGATAGAACACTGAGGCCTAAGTACGAGGCCGTGAGGGCGAGGGCCCAACCTAGCACTTAAGATAAGTAACGACCTTTAGGTAGGTCATCCTTTAGATAACTGTCCTATTATCTTTGACGTATTCCTATAGGGATACGTTAACAAGTCCCCTAGGCTAGTAAACATCGGCGTTAGCCTTGGGTAGCTGAGTTGTTCTAGCTTAGCCCTAAACACGTGTTCGGATGGGATGGTTTTGACGTCTACTAATATGAAGGAGTGTCTACGCAGACGGTTTCATCATTGTAACTGTTTGAATTTTCCGCCTTGCATTTAAGACTTCTCTTATCAGGGATAGTTTCCTTTTTCTTTGCTCTATTTTTCTTCGACTGTTTCTTCTTTTCTCTTCGCTTCCTTTCTCTTTTGTCTTGTACTTGTTATTGGTAAACAATGGAAACTGAGAACACCGGAATCGAGCCTACACCAAAGGAGTTTGAGTCTCTGCAGGCCATATTTGGCTTTCTTCATGAGCACAGGGCACGATATCCTCAAAGAGAGGCACATATTTCTCGGCCACCGGAAGGGAAGGTTGGAGTTCCAATCCCAATCTTCGAGGCGGGTATCCGACTACCGACAACTGACTTTTTCTACGAGATCATGCGCTAGTATAGCTTCTCTGTTAACGCTCTAACTCCTAATTCCGTCAACAAAATAGTTGGTATCAAAATGGCATGTCGAGCTTTGGGTGTGCTCCCTCAATTCTAGGCTTTCAAGTACTTCTTTAACTCCTCTACTTAGTCCGGCGTGCATACGTTCTCTCAGCGGATGGACGTCCATGCATTCATCATAAACCAGAGAGCTCCCAAGAAGAACTGGTAGGACAAATGGCTATAGGTGAACCGCAACTTGGTTGGTTTTGGCTATCCTCGTCAAACCACTTTCTCCAAATGGACACCTTAAATCTGGGGGGATAGCGATACCGTGGCGAATGTGTTGAAAAACATTTTTTTTAATAGGGAGAATTGGGAGGATTATGCGCTAGTTGCGGTTGAGATGAGTGCTGCCTAAAGGGCACATGGGATGATGCCCCAGTTCTTCACGAAGAAGGATAGTGAGTATGCATCTCCTTCCCACCCCTTTTTGTACATAAATCTTTACGGGGTGAAGTCAGGGCCTTGACGATCCCCTTATGTATATGATTTGTTTTTTGTTGAGGTCATGAGAGAATAATTCCTTTTGAGATGGTCCTGCGAGGTAGGTTTTAGGGCAGTTGCTAGTACCGGGAAGTACCTCTGGTGGAGACACTTCCTCCACCGGTCAGCGCTAATTGTGATCTAGCACTTGCTAGTCCTACCGTTGTTGTGGTGTAGGGATCTAGTCCTCAAGCTGGCCAGGCGTTGGTCGACGCCACTGTAGAGGGGGTTTATGACGACCACCCTCCGCCTCCTGATCCAGAGGACGAGGCGTCAAATGAGACGACGACTGGAGGGAGCCGCTCGACTATCAAGAGGCGGTTGGCTTGGTTAGACTCTCCACTTACTGAGGGCGCTCGTGTCAGCACTGTTGGCAGGCGTCTTCGTAAGAAGCAAAACGTTGACTTCTTGTTGGGGGAGTCGGACGTGGTGGTGGAAATAGCAATGATGACACTTCGAAACAGTCAGATGGAATGGATAAAGAGGCGACTGAACAACCTCATGAACCCAAGAAAGAGCTAGAGGATGTTGTCGTTCTTGGTGAAAGCGCTATAGGCAAGGAGCCCGAGGTTGAGTTTCAAACAACCTCTGATTTTTCTTTACCTCCGACGAAGGATAATGTTATTGCAGGTTCTTCTTCTTCGCCCCGACGGCCCCCTGAAGTTTATATCCCGAATTGGGGGCTCACTCAAGAATCCCTTCTTATGTAAAATATTGTCGTGTATGAGTGGGGTCTCCATGCTTTCCCTCCAGCCACGATCGAAGCTCTGGAGCTCCTCTCCAATTCTCACATGTCCAACAGTCTCCAGTATGTGGCAGCTTAGGTCGCTCCTTATTTTGTGGCCGCCGCTCGGTGCCTTCGTCAAGTTAGTTTAGATTCATCGGATCTTGCCTCTGTTAGGGCCGAGCGAGATGAGCTAATGACGAGGGTGCTGGGGCTGGAGGAAGAAAAATGCACGTTTGAAGAGCATTATGTTCTTTTGGCTGGTGAGAAGGTGTCCGTGGAGACACAGGTTGCAAGTTTGGATGGGTCAGTGGAGCGTTTGGTGAGGAGAGTGGATACTCTGGTGGGGGAGAAAGGATTATTGGAGAAGCAAGTGAAGGAGCAAGCTGGACAGCTGGCTACTGAGGAATCCAGGAGGCGCGGTGTGGAGGGTGATATGGCGTGGTTGCTCCGGGAAGGTATTGTTCAGGTAGTTGATCGAGTCATTGAGAGTCCTGAGTTCTCAAGGCTGCGTGTGTCGCAGCTGGTGTGGAGGGAGGCAGGCAGGTGGTGAAGGAACAGGTGGCCTCCGGGAGATTCGATCCGCAGGAGCCAAGCAATATGGTGAAATTGACTCAGTCCATGCATGCTTCTGTGAAGACGTTCATGGAGACAGATTTTGCCTCCTTCCTTCATTTGAGCGAGCTTGACTTGGAGGGCCTTCGCCAATTGTGTCGTGATCCTGGCGCCGATGAGAACCCTCCTGAAGGTGACCCTCTCAAAGTTGGATCTTCCTCCAGTACTCTCGATAAATGATTCTCCTTTCTTCTTAGTTTATTTATGTGAAACAATATTTGAACTTGTCTTGTTTCTGAGATGATGTCTCCGAGACAATATTTTTAATGGTTGTTTGACCCTATGCGGCGCTTTCAAGTCTGGGGGTTGTCCGAAAGGATAAGGTTTTTGTATTTTGATAACATGGTCACTTCTATTTCTACAATGCTTTTGTTTCTATCCCCAGGTGGTTTATGTTGACCACTGGTGAATAACTGCCCTTACTTCTCCTTGCTAAGGCGATTCTTCCCCCAAGTTTGTGTTGGCCTTAGGGGGTTGTCGACTCGAGACGAGTAGGTATTTTCTGCTTTGTGGGTGGGTGTGTGGTTTGGTGATCTATCCGTGTTACTAGGCATACCCAACTTACGACTCTAGGACCCATTTTTTGCTTGAGATCCTTTGGATTTATCTCGGGAGCTCGCACTGGGAGCTAAGATATTGTCCTTTCTTTGGGTCATAGATTGTTATTTATAGATCATGGATTTTTGTCCCGTTTTCTTTGTTAGGGTGTCCCTTTTTAGCTAAGATTTACTAATTACCCTTTTGCGACTTTGTTCTAAGTCCCGGGCCTTGGAGAGTTGCACTCCGACCCTAACTGTCTAAGTTAAGCCGAGATCGTCACCTCGAGGCATTTAGAACTTAGGTATTATTTGTTTCAAGGGAAAGGTTATGAGACTTTAAAGCCTTTGTCCATGTCATGGCCAAGATTTTTGGACTCTTGGGCTGAATTGACATGTTCAGGGAAATGTTATGAACCTATGACACCCATGGTTGCATTCTCACAACGGTTTCGCTCAATAATAACGTCTATTTTGTGCATATATTTATGACGTTTCATTATTATTTTATACTATGTTTTTATGATATTTAGAACTAAAAGATACTTAATATGATTTGAAATATAAAATTATAGTTAAAATGGGAGCTGGAATGCAAAAGGAGGAGAATGGAGCTAAAAAGAAACAAAAAGGGTGTTGCTGGACAACTTGACTCCTTGTCAGTGTTTTGACCATATCTCATAACTCGTAACTCCGATTGACGAGATTCAAAATGTTCTGAAAACTAGATACAATTTCGGACGACTTTCGTGTTTTGAGAAAATGTTGATTCCAAAAGAACTCGTCGAGTTGAGCATAAACTCGACGAGTTGATTAGAAGCTTCGCGATTCTTGACACTGACTTGGGGAATACAGGATTTTAATGAGGAACTCACTAAGTTGGTATCCAAACTCATCAAGTTGATGCTGAAAACTATAAATAGAGCCGAAAATTAGCCATAATGAGAGATATTACAGCCTAGATTGATTCTTGAGATTATAAACCCCCAAGAAGCCGTTTTGAGGGTCTAGAAGGCGGCCGGAAGGCCGTTAAGCTGATATGGAGCGAAGATCTGAAGGATTGGAGAGCAGATTTATGTTGGCAATCATATAGTTTGTTAACATGAACATGTTTAGCATTCCATTATGATTCTATATACAATTACTTTCTGATTTGGGTGTTAAAACCCTTTACTTTGTGTTTATGATTAGATGAAACCTTGATTTATGGATTAATTGCTATTTGGATTGGTTTATTCGTGTTTAATTCATCTAGTTAAGCTTGTTAAAATATCCTCATGTGTTGAGTTATATAAACATCTTCTTGATTGCTTGAATCTTATAATTTTGTGAAAACAAGATTGTATGCCTAGTATTAGTGAACATGAACCTAGGGCTAACTAGAAAATAAGTAAGTTAATATGTGAGCATGTGTGATGACCAACCACATACGAGTTAATTGAATAAACCAATTTGATTAACTATTATTATAGGTCTTTCTTGATATGAACTGAACACTAGGAAACTTGTTAATTTAATCAACTGATCACTGCTTGAATTGACTTGTTTGCTAAAGGATTAGTAGAAGTGAACATGAACCTAATCATATTAGAAATTGGTGAACATGAATAAATAAATATGTTTGTGCAATTATCCATGATTTTCAAGATGTAATTTGTCTAAACCAAAGTACCTAAATAGATTTGTTTTCCAATCAGTTTATCGAGATTTGCTAATTAGTGATTTGTTGAGATTTAATAAAACCTCTCTTTTTATTGATTTTGTGTAACCTATAATCAAAAATTTTAAATTAATTCACTACCGTTCCCCTTGTGTTCGACACCCTTGCTTATCAAAGCTATACTATACTCTATCGGGTTCATTGCCTGTAAGGTGTGGTTTTGATGCGATAAAGTAGGAATTATAAATAAAAAATTAGTGCATTTAAAATACACATCACTCAAATGATGTGGATGATTAGTCCTTGTTATCATTTGGTAAACGTGCGCAACCACTTATGTAAATGTTATCAAGCTTGAATAGTAAAAAAACATTAGGATAGTTTTTTTTCTCTTTTTTGGGGTAGTCAACTTCCTTCACTTCATTGATAATGCTTTGTAGAAATAACTACACTGCTTGGTGAGTAATGAGAGTGATATAACTACATCATGGCATAAGCCAAGGCCTAGCTCTTAGGCTGACTTGTTGGGGTGTGATTATCTATTCGAAGTCTGATCACATTTCCATTGCCTCGAGTGTGCCTTATCTGGACCTTTTTCCTTGCTGTAGGGGTAGTGGTGTGAACTGCACATGCTCCAGGTCCAGGTAGGGGTGTTCATAGTCGGATATCCGAAAATTCGGATATCCGAATTTCGGATATCCGAACATTTCGGATAGTGAATATTGGTATCCGTATCCGTATCCGAAAATTCGGATATCTGAATTTTTGGATACGGATACAGATACCAATTCGGATATCCAAAAATACATCTTTATTTTTTGTTATTGTAAAAATGTAAAGCAATTGAAAAATAAAAAAAACCATTATAACTTATAAGAAACTTATGTATTAATAATTCCCATGAAATAAAAAATACACGATTACAATACAAAACTAAAGTTTAAAGTTTAAACCACAAATTACAAATCTAAAGTTTAAAGTTTAAACCACAAATTACAAATGTAAAGTTTAAGTTTTAAGCCACAAATTAACAATTCCTAAAGCATTAACTGTTCCACACTTCCACCAAAGAACCAAAAAGCAGAAAGCACTTCAGCTAATAAAGCATCTTTCCAAAAAACATTCTATTCACCTCCATTCTAGCATTAGCATTCATTGTCCAAAAAACAATCTTGTATGTACAAGTAAACAATGCATTGTTTGGATTAATTGTGCATAATTTTGCACTCTTTTAACATTAAAAAAAACAATAAAGTTGTTATTCTGGGCAGAAACATATATAATCTGGACATATATAAATCAGAAAATTTGGACAGTTACCTTCTTCAAAGTTCAAACATGACAGAATACCTTCTTCAAATTATAAATCTGAAAATCCCCAGTCATCTGATCATGGCAGAAACATAAAACCAAAAATTAGAAGTTAAACATAATTACATAAGTAAAACATAATTTGGACATAAACATAGTTAAAACAAAATCTGAAAGGCAATAAACATTAATCAATTCATACCCAATCTTTCGGTTAGTTCATCAACTGTTTCATCAATTATGATGGTAGGTTGCTCCATGGTCAAATCTTTCAAACCCGTGAATCAAATTAAAAAGAAAATATTAAAAAGAAAAGATACAAACAAATATATGATTGGAATTTAAGACTAACCTTCTTCTTCCATTTTCTCTACTTCAAGTAATATGTCATCAATATTAATGGGCTCATGAGACTCTCGTACCCAATCTTGTGTGCAAACTAATTCTTCCACCATTTTAGAAGTTAAACATGTTCGAAAAGCATCAAGCACTCGTCCTCCGGTGCTAAAAGCCGACTCGGAGGCAACCATAGAAATCGGAATAGCAAGCATATCACGGGCCATCTTTGCAAGAACAAGATATCTACATTGTTGAACCTTCCACCATGTCAATATGTCAAAATTGACGTCCATAGGTTCACGATCTTCACTTAGATATTTGTCTAATTCAGGTTTTTCAAAATTGTTTCAGAACTCCCCATTTCCATTTCAAACCTTTTGGTCATAAGTTCCTCAATATCCATGACCACCTCGTGCCCCCACATTGAACTAGGACTAACATTAGAAGTAGAAGATGACACCTCTTCATCCTTTTCTTTTTGAGGCTTGGAAGAATTGTAGAGATTGAACAAGGAACACATGTTGAAATCTAGTTTTGAAAGAAAACTCTCTGCTCTCTGTTTCCCAAAGTTTTGCCCATCACCCATACAATATATTGCCATTTGCGCCGTGGGTCAAGAACTACTCCAATAAACAAAAACTGATTTAGTTTCTCTACATCCCCCAATACTTTTTGTCTTTTATTTGCATTTTAACTGCCATGCTCTTAATGGACTCATCGACATGCTTGGTAACTCCATCAATCACATTACCGATTCCAAAAATCTCATGGATATAAGCATTTGAAGTCACATATCGAGAACCCGAAAACCTTTTTGTAGCATCATAAAATATCTTCAAAAAAGGCAATAAACTACTTACATTAACCCAATCTTCATCATTAATCAAACCACCCTCACATTTTTAAGGTCTTTTGCACAATTAGAATCTTTTAGAAGTAAGTTTGAGAATGCTTTTCTAAATTTTATTGCACTCTCGAGCATAAAAAATGTTGAGTTCCACCGTGTCTCAACATCCATAGGTACAAGACTCTTACTTTCTATTTTTTCCTCTTGCACAGAAGCTTTGAATTTTTGAAGCCTTGCAGGAGACGATCTCACATACTTTACAAGATCACGTATTTTTTTCGTAGAAGAGTTCACTTCCATTAACCCATCTCTAGCTACCAAGTTTAAGACGTGAGCCGCACATCTCATATGTAAAAAAGCCCCTTTCAGGACACCACAATCCCAATGGTTTAGAAATTTTTTCAAATGGTTGATAGCTACATCATTTGAGCTAGCAGTATCCACTGTTACAGTTAATATATTTTTCAGCCCCCATTCAATTAAGCAT